AAAAAAAAAAATAAAAAAAATTCAGAAATTATTTATGACTTTTTAAGTAAAGAATAAAACCAGGTGCAAAAAAATTTTCTTTTTTTTTTTTTCTTTTTTCTTTTTTTTTAATTTTTTTTTTTTTTTTTGATAATTTGCCCTTAAACCATAAATATTTCAAATTGTGGCCAAATTTTTTCTTTTTTTTTTTGCTAAAAGAAAGTTTGAAACTTTTTTTTCTTTTTTTTTTTTGTATAAACGAGCTAACGTTGCTCATTTTTTTTTTTTATTTATTTGAAAAAATAATAAAAAAATGTATGTATGTATGATGATGATGATGATGCTTTTTTTTTTTGTCAAGTCGCTGACAAATGAGGTAAATTGTTAAAAAGTAAAATGCTGATATAAACAATTTTAATTATTTGTGGACTTTAATCAAAAATTAACAAACAATTTTTAGACCCCCGTCATATTTTCAATCATTTGTTAAATAAAAAAATTTTTTTTTTCCCATTTCCCTTTCTACCATTTTTCTGCTCATCATTCCATCCCCCTCTCCCATCCCTTTCCCCCTCCTACTACTCCCATCACCCTCATTTCATTCCCGATTTTCGTCAAAATTACGGTATCGATAAAATATTTTTTAGATTTTCATTTCGTTGCGAAAAAATTTTTAAATAAAAAATTATCGATAGATTTATTTATTTATTTAATAATTTAACGTTTACAGAAATTAATAACAATAATAATAATAATGATAATAAGATGGAAAATTTATGGAATTTCCACGATTCCTTCTTCTTTCATAACATTTTCCAACGTTTCGTTATTTTTAATTATCATATTTAAACCTTTAATTAAATCTTCATCGGCAACCGTTTCGGCTTTTCTAACCAAATCTTCATCAATTTCGGTTTTAAATTCATTTTCAATTTCTTTTCCCATTCTAAACGACGCCGAATTCGAATCTGTAATAATGATAATAATGATAATACAACCGTGATTTCGTAATTAAAAGAAAATTTTTCTTCTTACCGATCATGACGTCATCATTTTTGTTCAACAAATTTTTTTTTATTATATTTTCATCCACGGATAAAGAAGTATCGATTTGTGCATATGATTTACGTGTAATAAAAATCGTCGTTAATAATAATAATAATAATAATAATTTATTAAACATTTTAATTAATTAATTTATATATATAAATCACAAAGTACTCGAACTCTTTTGTTATGAATATATGACAGCTAACTAAGCAATACTAAAAAAATTTTTTTTTTTTAAATCGTATTTTAGGCCATTTTTTATTTTATTTTTAATATTTTAATTTCTTTAAATGGTTAAAGGTTTTTCTTTTTCGTCCAGTTTTTCCATAAATCGATTTTTTGCTAATAAAAAAAATTGTTTATAAAAATTTGTTTTTTGTTTAACTGCATGAAGCAATTAAAAAAAGGAAAATCGTAAAAAAAATTTTTTTTTTCGCTTAACGCACAAAATTTGTATTCGTTTTTTTTTTTTATTTTCATTTCCTCAATGAGAATCGAACGTCGTGAAAATTTATTGCTCTGAAAATTTTCTTTTCTTTTAACTTACTTAAAAATTATTATTATTATTTATATATTACTGTAATATTTTTTAATGCCGATCTTTTCTTTGACCACTCCCGTTAATATTAAATAAAAAAATTAATAATTAAAATGACGTCAAAGGTTTTTTTTTTCCTTTCAAACTTTTTTGATTTTATTGTTTTTTTTTTGTCCCCCCCCCTTTTATTATTACTCTTAATAAAAAATAAGTAATAAAGATTAAAAGAAAAAGAAAAATTAAATTATTTTTTTTATTATTTTTAAAAAACAGAAAAGAAAAAAAAGAAATAATATCAAGTAGATGTTTAGAAGCAGTCAAAGAAACAATGGAAGTCATTAAGGACAGTAAGTATAAATACGTATGTAAAGGTTTTTAGGTTAGAGAGATAGAGGGAAGGGTGTGAGTGCGCGTGAATTTACGAAACGGATGTAAAAATAAAGGAGAAAAACGGATGATGATGATGATGGAATGAAATTTTTGTTTCGGGTAAAAAAATATTAAGATGAAGAGGAAGTAAAAAGAAGGATTTTATGCATTTCAGTTATTAAATATTAATATTAAACAATAACGAGTCGGAAAATTCGAGGGCATTTTCTTACAACTCGGGGTTAAATAAAAAAAAAGAGAGAGAGAGATATGGAAAATGTGAATGAAAATGTTTATAAATTTTCAAAAAAGGTAAAATATTTTTAAGAAAAAAAAAAAAAAATTCTAGCTCGAGATGATAGTAGATCCAGCTACTGCTACACCAACATCATGGAAGGTTTTTAAATATTTTACATCATATTCATAGCATTAAAACGTCAAAATAAAAACTAAAAAAAATTTTCTTTTTGTGGGGAGGTGGGGGGAGGAACACGGAAATAATCATTGGTTTTTTTTTTTTTTTGTAAAAATGGCGACGTGCAGATCTCGAAGTTGAAGGTCTTTTTACAACATGTGGAAATTTAAGAACGAGAAAAAAAATTCAAACTTATTTATCGAGGGGAGACATATACACGTTAAGAAATTGGGGTTTCGAATTTGTTATTGAATGTGCGGCTGCATTGAAAATATTTTTACAAAATTTACCACAACCCCTGATACCGATGAGGATACAACAATTAGTCATAGGTATGACAATAAATGATTTTTATTTAACATATACAAGCATGAAATTTTTATAGTTTTATATATTATTTACAGCTGAAAATATCGGGGTACCTGAAAAAACCATAGCTTACGACGCTTTAGGATTGTTAAAAGAAGAAGTTAATGGACGACATAAAGAACTTTTACTTGAAGTTTTTACTTTTTTAAAAGAAGCAGCCGTTAGGATAAATACATCGGAACTTACGGGTTGCAATTTACCACTTAAATTATTACCCGTTTTTTTTAAAATCGAGGTAACTTTTTCCCTTTTCCTATTTATAACGAATCCTACTCGCTTATGATAAATTTCCCCACCCCCTTACCCCTACCCCCATCCATACATTCATCCATTTTCAATCGATTTTCATAGTTTTAGGGTTAAAAAAAATGGCGCCTAAAATTTTCTTTTATTATAATTTTTTTTTTTTTTTTGATTTATTAATTTTTTAAAACACGAGTTATAATAATAATAATATTTATTTATTAAAAAAAGGTGATTAACACGTAAAAAAAATGCTAGTAAAAGTTAATAATAAGCTAAGCAAGAAAAAATTTTATTATCAATAATTTATTTTATTAACGTTCAGCAATTAATTAATTTTTTTTTTTTTTTTAATTTTC